GAGTGGCTGGGCAAGCCCAAGACGGTGCGCGACACGCTGCTGGCCCTGCACCAGCACGGCCACGCCGCCGCGCCCTTCGACGGCAAGTTCAAGAAGGAGCCCGGCCTGGGCGGCCGCCTGCTGCCCTACGACACCAACGGCGCCGGCGCCAAGGCCGGTGAGTGCGGGGCCCCGGGGCACGCGGCTTGTATCTGCACCCCCGTCTGTCTGTGTGTGGGTACACCCCCCATCTGTGTGTGGACACCCGCCTTGTGTATAGACATACATGTACATACCCATTCGCACACATCTGTGTGCCCTTCACACGCGTGCACACACATATACCCAGTATGTAACATTCCATACACCTTGGGAGATGTGTGTGTTACATTCACACGCACACACAGGTAGACCTAGCATATAACACCCCCCTACACACACACACACACACACACACACGTTATGTATACACCCCCCATATATGTATATGTCCACACATACATTTACACACACACGTCTTAACAACACACACTCCATACACGTTGGGAGGTGCGTGTATATTACACACACACAGAGGTAGAACCAGCATAAACCCCCCGGTACATGTTGGTTGTGTGTACACACATGTTGGGGGGGGTGTAATATATAACCCCCTCCTTGGGGAGAGAGAAGACAGCACCTGATGAAGTGAGCTTCATAAGCAGCCAACAGCAATTATCTGCTTGCTTGTTATCTGTCTATACCTAGGTAATAAGCAACCAGCTGCAGTTTTCTGGTTGCTTATTATCTAGATATATATCTAGATAGGTAATACCAAAGTGTGCGTATATATGTGCATATATGTGTGTTTGTGTGTGTGTATATATGTATGTGTATGTATATATATAATTAGCACCAGCTTAGCTAGGTATACCTACTTTGCTTACTCTGTACATTAAAAATCTGCCCTGCCTCGGAAGAGAAAACACCCCCTTTGCAAATGGAGAGGGAGAGTTGCAAAACTGCAACTCCTGCACCCGGACTTCCTGGTGCTCAGTGCAGCACTGCTGCAACGTGTCATTGTGCTGAAGCAGCATAACACAGCACTATGAGTCAGGTCAGGGTGACAGACACTGATGAGGGCTTTCCTCCTCCCGGCTGGTCTTGCCATGGGTGCTGATGCATGCGGGAAAGGCACCAATCACCTTTAGCCTGCGAGCAGACATTATTTTTTTTCCTGAACTGAATCAACAGCTGCCATGTGTTGCAGATCATGTTCTCTCTCTCTCTTTTTTTTTTTTTTTGGCTGAG